CGAGACCTAGCTCGAGCGAGAACTCCTTGGCTCGAGCGAGCAACGACGGACATGCAATTTTGAATGCAATTTTGCATTTTGCATTTTGCATTTTGCTTTATGGCCAAATATTTTTACAGAAAAGAGTAACTTTTCAAAAAAAATATAAGCACTTCCACGAAAAGGTATAAGCTTAAGCAAAGGGTGTAAATTTGATGAATTTATCTTTTCACAAAAAGGTATAATTGACTTCCGAAAAAGGTTTAAGTTGGCCTTCCACAAACGGTGTAAGTTCGAAGAAAAGACATAAATCTTATGCCAAAAATTATTTCACAAAAGGAGTAACTTTTCAAAAAAAATATAAGCACTTCCACGAAAAGGTATAAGCCTAAGCAAAGGGTGTAAATTTGATGAATTTATCTTTTCACAAAAGGTATAAGTGACTTCCGAAAAAGGTTTAAGTTGGCCTTCCACAAACGGTGTAAGTTCGAAGAAAAGACATAAATCTTATGCCAAAAATTATTTCACAAAAGGAGTAACTTTTCAAAAAAAATATAAGCACTTCCACGAAAAGGTATAAGCCTAAGCAAAGGGTGTAAATTTGATGAATTTATCTTTTCACAAAAGGTATAAGTGACTTCCGAAAAAGGTTTAAGTTGGCCTTCCACAAACGGTGTAAGTTCGAAGAAAAGACATAAATCTTATGCCAAAAATTATTTCACAAAAGGAGTAACTTTTCAAAAAAAATATAAGCACTTCCACGAAAAGGTATAAGCCTAAGCAAAGGGTGTAAATTTGATGAATTTATCTTTTCACAAAAGGTATAAGTGACTTCCGAAAAATAAGCACATCCACTAAAAGGTATAAGCTTAGGCAAAAGGTGCAAATTTGATGAATTTATCTTTCCACAAAAGGTATAACTGACTTCCGAACAACCTTTAAGTTGGGCTTTCACAAAAGATGTAAGTTCGAAGAAAAGGTCCAAATGTTATGCCAAAAAATCTTACACAAAAGAAGTAACTTTTCAAAAAAAATATAAGCACTTCCACGAAAAGGTATAAGCTTAAGCAAAGGGTGTAAATTTGATGAATTTATTTTCTCACAAATGGTATAATTGACTTCCAAAAAAGCTTTAAGTTGGACTTTCACAAAAGGTGTAAGTGCGGAGAAAACGTATAGATCTATGCCACAAAAAGATGTAAGTAACTTCGCAAAACGTCCAAGTTCCGTTTTTTTTGTAAGTTCCTAAAATCCAATCACACTGTATTTGTCTTGTTCAGATAATGGCAATGTGAGAGAGAAGGGCGTTTCGGAGGGCTTGGCCTTTGTCCCCGTAGAACTCTGTTCCAGAGAAGACGAGTCTGGGAGGGCTTGGAATAGCGACTCCGACCCCAAATCCAACCAAGTATGTCAATGTAAAAGAGAACCGTTTTTAATAAAGAGCAATGGACAGAGAGAGAGAGATAGACTGAGATCGACAGACATAGAGACCTAGATGGACACTGATCGACAGAGGGACCGAAATCGACAGAGATCGACAGAGAAGAGACCCACATGGACACCGACAGACCAAGATCGCTGGAGACAGACCGAGATAAACAGGGATCGACAGAGAGAGACCGACATCGACACAGAGAGACCAAGATCGATAGCCAATCTTTCAAAAAAACCTTGATTTGCGGCGGCGATGCCAGTGGAGGTGCCGATCTCAGAAGGCTGTGAGCACCGGAGCCCACCGACGCTTGGGTGGTCAGCTGGGGTCACGACCCTTTGATTTGTTCAGTGGTTCTCTCAATTGGTTTATGAACACTTCGAAATGTTACTCCTTCTGTGTTTACTAACATTTTGAAATGAACCCTTTGTTACCCTTTTTCTGGTTATCAACGCTCTGAAATGTCACTCCTTCATACTTTTCGTGAAAATATTTACACCATTTTTGAAAAGTTACTCATTTGGTGTAAGAACTTTTGGCATAA